ACTGCTACCGCTATGCGCGGGAGGATGCGCAGTGGTCGAGGAGGTTGCGCAGTAGCTGTGTAGCCTGCGCATCAGCTCTACACTTATCTACACAAGATTCGCTCCTGCTTCCATAAGACGAGCGGTGGCCGAGTCGTCAAAGACGTCGGAAGTGTCCACATAAATCGTGATGTGGGTTCGATCCCCATCTCCCGAATTTCTTAATTTATACCTGATTATCAATTTTCGTTGTTTTACTGCAATATTTCATCAAGTAGTCATTTCAAAACGCGTCCTTAGACTTCAAAAAAAAAAATTGTTTCTTTATTCATCAAAACCAAAAATTATTTCATTCTAAAAGTAAAGTATACCTCATATCGTAATGTTTTAGGGGAAAAATAAAACTAACACCTATAGGAGGGTAAAAATAGGGCCGCGAAGCGGCCCATTGATGGCGCGGAGCGCCTTCAGGGGGTTGGGCCGCGTAGCGGCCAGGGGGCGTAGCCCCCTAGTAAAGTATAATGATACGTGATGAATCATTACGTAAATACATTTATGTATGTAAGAGGAATTCAACGTCAACACGCTGTTGCAGAGGACTTTGAAAAGATCAACGACGCAGGCGTAGGGTAGGCAACTATTCCAGCCCTTCGACCGCTTGTACTGCATACTCTGGATATTGAAGGGGATATTGACGAGTTTAGCTCCGCGACAACAACCCGTTTCAACCAATTTAATCGCTCCTCAATCCCTGTGTCTTTTTTGTCTCTCACTTTGTTAATCAATCTAAAAAATCAGCCTGCAGAGGGTTATTCCATACTTTCCAAATAATCACTCAGTTTTGTCGTTGCGTCTCACACTTCAAAATAACCCTGCATGCCTGCTATAACCTCTTTCAACAATGCCGTATTTTTCAAAAGCTATAAAACCTTCTCGTGCCGGGATGGAAGCTCGAGCGACTTTCAAAAGACGAGCGTTTGTCATGGGAGTTATATGTTGGCCTATCAGGTCTTTTCCCTTTTTCCTGCCCCTTTTCACTGCGTCTCTGCCTCTCCTCGTCCTCACACTCGAAGAGAAATAAAGCGAGCCGGTGTGTTCGACAGGGATTATTGAATTCGCTCCACCCTCCGATGAGACTCAGTTTTCACCACCATTTGTGGTGTTTCGGTTTTTTCGTGGCCTCTCAAAAATTAATTGAATAGAATGACGCTAGAGCTTAGTAGACCTTTTACAAGTGAAATTGCACGAAAATAAATTGCTAATCTTCAGGGATAATGCCTGAAATCCATTCCTTGAGGCACAACAATTTGCGTACTCTAATCCACGCAAAAAAAAAAAAAAAAAAAAAAGTTACGGGCTACAATGCTACATAAACATACCGTCCGTTACGGGCAACATAGATATACCGTCCGTTCCGGGCTCATGTAGGTCAAAATTTCCGTACTGGAGCCGTAGCTTCGATTGCACCGGGTGCTACGCCCGGAATTTTCGGCCTCTGAACCCGGAACTCGGACAGTATGTCTATACAGCCCGTAAGTACGGCTTCCACGGTCGAAGTTTTTTTTTCAGCACGCATTTTCAAATTTACCGTTTCCATGGGCAGTTTTTCGCAATCGTCTAGGTTCGACAAGAGGAAGTCCAAATCAACTGACCTGACCTAAGCATTCTTGTTCTTGTTCTTGTTTTATTCTTCTTTTTCTTCTTCTTCTTTTCCTTGTTCTTCTTGTTCATGTTCTTCTTGATCTTCTTCTTGTTCTTGTTCTTCTTGATCTTCTTCTTGTTCTTGTTCTTCTTTTTCTTGTTCTTCTTGTTCTTGTTCTTCTTATTCTTCTTCTTCTTGTTCTTCTTCTTGTTCTTCTTCTTGTTCTTCTTCTTGTTCTTCTTCTTGTTCTTCTTCTTCTTGTTCTTGCTCTTGTTCTTGTTCTTGTTCTTGTTCTTCTTCTTCTTCTTCATCATCATCTCCTTCTCCCTTTTCTCTTTCTCCGACGCACAATTTCTCTCAAAATTTCTAAAGCGCCTCTGTCCCTCATCTGACGTCCGTCAAAAGTCCCGAGACCCGAGTCTCCCGGACCAATTTTGTAAGCTCAAAAAACTTGGTAAAACCCAAAATCCTGCATTTCTAGCCTTAACACAAGAAAGAGCATATTCAAGGAGCAACCGACTCCAGTCCCGAATCTGTGCCTCGGACGGGAGGAGCTCCCCGAAATCCCGAGGCTGGTGACGAGTGCAGGTTGAGCGACGGCGAAATTTTTCATTTAGCACGCTTTGCCGTTCCCGTTCCTCGGGACTAATTCGCAGGATGGCGCCCGGGGAGATTAGTCGCCTCGCCGCTTCCCGGAGTCGAACTTACTCCAAACAAGCAACAGCCCGGCCCGGGGGTGGTCCGAGAGGGGTGGGGGTGGGGGGAGGTCTAAGTAACTAAACGCTCCCCGAGGAGCGACGGGGAGTTCAATAAAGTTGCGCTCGGGCTGATGAATAAGTGGTGAAGCTGCGCCCCTTTTCTTCGCAGCGAAGGGAGCAGCGAGGGGGAGGGGCGAATCTGGAGCTGACCCGCTAAATCGTGAAACATATGTTCTTGACAAATCTCATTTTTATAAGCTTTGAGCTCTTGAGGGTATCCTTTAGCTCAATTATACGGAACACATATTTCATTTATTACGTCGACTTTGAATCGCAATTGAAAATTAATCTCTTCATCTCGGTGTAGCCGACGCGAGCCGGCCATGCAAGACTAATGCTCGGGTGCAGAGCGTAGCCCCCCCCCCCCCCCCGCGTGCACCCCCGTAGCCCGCCCTTGCGTTCACTTCGTTTCCATAAGTCGCTCTTCTCGATAACAATCTCAGACTGCGAGGCCAACTTTACATATAAATTACACCGAAATTCCGTGAGCACTTCGACGGTTTAATGGTTATTGGACCGGAGAGGCTGTTAGATTCGATGCCTAATCATTTTGAAAATATGGTACTAATATTGGTACTGTCATCTGCAGAAAAGGATTCAGGTTACGGGGGAGATTGGTGACATGGGAATTTCGCAGGGTGCCGCAACCCAGGGCCGGATTAAGGGGGTGGCGGTGGCCACATGGGCCGCGGTCCACGACGGCAAAATCAGAGGGCGGCAAATTTTGCAATTTTTTTAAATGCAGGTACAAAAAAATCGGATTCAGAAAAAAATTACAAACAAGAAAAGGTGACAAAATCTCTCATTTCCTGAGAGTTTATTAATTTCTAATTTGCTCGTATTTCAGTGATACAAAAGACTGCGCACCTTTAATTAGTCGAATTAAAAGAGAAACCACACACGTAATTTGGCCTGGAGCGGCGCGGCGCAAAGAGTAATGATTACGAGGACTTGAAATGAAAAGGAGAAGCCCTCGACGCGGCGGTCGGCATGTAACACATATTAGCGCCTACGAGACTGCATGAATACTTCACGCATTGCGTCAAACACAGTACGGTCAACAGCGGTCGGCGCGGCTCCGGCGTGAAACGCACAGTGCCTACAAGACTACATGGATACTTCACGCATTGCGCTTAACACAGTGTGGTCAGCGCGGCACGGCGGCGGCGGAAGTTAAAATTGTTAAACCACATTTATGTTTGTTCTTTCTTAATTTTTTAGTTCATCTCTTACAAATGAAGGGCCTTGTCCCCACAGAGATAGGTTTACGGAACTGAACTTTCGCGCGAAGTTCCGTGAACTTTTGCTAGTAGTGTTGACAGGGCTTAAGCAAAAAATGTGTGCAACACGAGTGAACGCGTCTTATGCACCCTCCTCCCTCCGGCTCGTTCACTTGATGGTTTTTATTGATGTTTCAAAATGAATTAGAAGAGGGCGGCAAAATACAGGCGGCCCATGGGCGGCAAGTAGGTAAATCCGGCCATGCCGCAACCCTATCGTACGTGTAACTAAGTTTTTTTCGGGGGGAAGGGAGGCGAGCACCCGAAACAGAGGGAGTAATTGATTACTCCAAGAGGAGAATAGAGTGTTTATATAGTCCGTAAGTACGGCCTCCACGGCCGGATTTTTTTTTAGTGTATTAACCTATAATAGAGATTGCTAAAAGAAACCGATGTGGACGATGTTGCAGGTGAAGATATGGTTCCAGAACCGACGGATGAAGTGGCGGAACTCGAAGGAGCGGGAGCTGCTGGCCAGCGGGGGCTCGCGGGAGCAGACGCTTCCGACGAAGAACAACCCGCACCCGGACCTGAGCGACGCCGCCAGCGAGGTCCTCGACGTCGAGGGTGCGGGGGCGGGGCCCGAGGGCGAGGGGGTGAAGCGGGGCCTCGGGGCCTCCGAGGGGGACTCCGCCGCCGCGGCCAAGAAGACCCGGGGCCCCGAGGACCCCGCCGAGGAGGGCCCCCCGCACAGCGACGCCAGCCTCCCCAGCGACGACGACGACGAGGACGAAGAGATCAACGTCACGTGACTGTACAGAGTAGATTCCCCCCTTGTTTATTGGATTTGTAAAGATATAATTGACAGTGTATTGTAACGAATAAAATATGTTGAAGAATTTCCCCGCTTTCCAGTTTTCTTTATTAGAGGTTGATACTGCCATGTAGAGTCCCTTTATACTGAGAGTCAAGACAGTGTGAATCCATTTCTGATTGGTTCCCGTATTTTAGGCCTTCACAGTGTCACAAACGGGAATAAAGATTACATTTTCACCGACTGCAAAGATTATATCCTGGAATGGACCAGGGAATTACGGGTTCGGCAAGGAACAAACGGAATGAGAGAAGGAACGGAGAAAGGAATTTGAGAATGGGCCGATCAAAGAATACGAAAAAAGTTCAATTTCTGTAATCTTTATTCCCGTTTGTGACTCCATGAGGGGGTGTTGTCTTGACTCTCAGTATAAAGGGACTCTACTGCCATGTTAAGGAAGAACGCCGTACGAGCATTCAGCCGTTGCCAAGTTTCCTCCGATAAAACTCGAAATTACACTGGGAAAATTACGAATAGTATTTTCCAAAATTTCAGACAATTTTGTGCGTAATATAATCTAAAATATCTAAGAATTTCAAGGGAAAATATTTTTGGACGTTGTAAAAAATACATGTTTTTTCAAGGGGAATTTGGCAACTCTCGAATGTTCATAAGGCGTTCTTCCTCAGCACGGCAGGATAAGGGACTGTTCAAATATTACGTAACGCAGTTAGGGGAGGGGGATTTAGCCAGCGTTACGGTGCGTTACAATGGACCTGTTGCAAACTTTTGCTAGAGCAGAATGAAGAGTTGTTTCCTATAGATAATGCCTCAAAAATCACGATGAGCGCATCGGCAAAGTCTGAAGTGCACTCATAACTTCACAATCTGCGTAAGAAATTTGCGTTATTTTGAGCTTCCCGCTTCAAAAACGATACTACTGCACAGGTGAACATTTTGTTAGAGGAGTCGCTCCATCGTCGGCAATATTCATCATGGCCGACGCTTGCGCAGTTCCTCGCGTAATTCGAGGAGAGTTCAAGGTCAATTAAGGCGGGCGAGGAAAATATGAACGTAAACACGCCGATTGTTATACGGTTTAATCCTGTTCAAGTGTTATCTCGTCCCATCACACGTGTTTTGGCGGACTGGCGTCGGCCATGATGAGTATTGTCGCCAATGGAACGACTCCTCTAACAAAATGTTCACCTGTACCGTAGTATCGTTTTCGAAGCGGGAAGCTCAAAAAACCGCAAATTTCTTACGCAGATTGTGAAGTTATGAGTGCATTTCAGACTTTGCCGATGCGCTCATCGTGATTTTTGAGGCATTATCTGTAGGAAACAACTCTTAGTTTTGCTCTAGCAAAAGTTTGCAACAGGCCCATTGGGAAGATTTACGGAATGCGACTTCCGAGCATTTCGGTGCGAGTAAGAAAAACCAGGACGCCTTCAATTTTTTGTCATGCAACACGCGCATCCATGGAGCGCGAATAGTTGCATCCAGGCGCTGTGATTATCTTTGCTTTCCTTAGCCCATCCAGTGGCTGCAAAATTACGGGAAATTGAGAACAATTCGATGGTGAAGGTGAAATTAATCGTGGAAGGTTAAGAAACCACGTATCTCGGCATGGGAAGTTACGAATTTCCCGACACATATCACAATCACGAGAAGGCCTAATTGCCGTTTTTGCTCAGCATTTCGTTATTTTTTTTCTATTGAAAACATTTTCTAAAACTTTTGCGCAAAAAATTCGAACAGTATTTTTATTTAAACATGTAAACCGAGTTTGGACAGAGCTCGATGTAAAAATTCAATTGTTCAAGTAAATTTTGCGACCTCGATAAAAAGTAAAGTTATTTTATTTGAGGTACGATTTGAGACGCAGGCAAGCAAAATGTGCTTTAAGATAGGATGTTCATTCAGGCAATGACCTACATCAAGTTACTCTAGTTTAAAGTACCTTTATCAATGGCTTAAGTCGAAAAATGGTATTTACACCTACTGTTCAAAAATTTCTGATTTATTCAATTTTTTTTTTTCAACAGACAATAAATTACTCGAAATATTGTTGAATGAGTCGAGGAAGACCAACTAATAATCTAATAAAACTGTTGTTCTGTTTTCCTTAAAAATAGGGAACATACAAGAAACCATTAATGGAGAGTTGCAACAGCACAGAATGGGACTCTTACGATCTTAAGTAAACAAAAAAAATGGCAATCTCACATAACAGTTGGATTGTCCCTCTAGATATTATTTTACAAAATTGAAATAAAGCATATTGATACTAAGGGGTGTCATTTTAAGCGAAAAAAACTTCAGAAATAACTTTCAGAAAGCTCAAAGCTCAATGTCAATTATATTTCGGAAATGATATGTAGAGTCTTAAAAATTACAAAATTTTATTCATCCTAATCACAGTGAAACATTTTTTTTAAAGTTTAAGTACATTTACACTAATGAGTAAAGAAAGGGAAGAAAGACACACTTAAAGCTCAGCTTTGGGATCAAAGTTCACCGGGAAAGTCAGGAAACAGTAATGAGAATGGGAATACTCAGAGAAGTTACCTGAAAAATGACCTACTGATGACTCTTCAATGTACTGCCGTGCTAAGGAAGAACACCGTATAAGCCTTCAGACGTTGCCGAATTCTTTGACAAATAACTGATTTTCAAGAAAATTTTTGCATATTTCTCTTCCGATTTCTCAAATAATTTTTCTCGTAATTTGATCTAAAAAGTCTAAAAATTTCAAGGAAAATTATTGATAGTTTCCCTCAAAAATAAACATTTTATTGGAGGAAATTTGGCAATGCTCATGCGGCGTTCTTCCTTAGCACAGCAGTGTATGAGTGTTTATCTTGCGTAAGTGCAAGTGTGTGTATTATTCCTCTTCCAAAGTTTTCCGGGACAGGAGCGTTTAGTCGAAAATTCTTGGGAACTGGAAAATTCCCACACAGATCCAGAGGCTCAGGTAATACGATTCCCTTCCCCTCCCTACTTCCCTTCCAATCTACGACTTACGTAGAGGTGAGTCTACGCACACATAGCTCTTTCTTTTAAATAATTATAAATACTTACAGAGTTCTTTCATTTTGGTCTAGAGAGCTTTGACATATTTGAATTAATTTTTTTTGCAATACCGGTGAAAAGTCTAAGTAAGAAATGGGGATATAGATAAGATAATTTTGCATTAAACTGTTGAGATCATATCCTCCTTCTCAAGGATTCAAAGCATGAAAGAATGGGAAAAAAAAACATTTCTCTCCATAAAAGTAAAATCAGTCTAACTAACATAGTGATAACATACGCACGGAAGGAGACATGTAAAACATATTTCAGAAAATATTTACCATCCATCCTGAGAAAGACTCTTGTAAAAAATTAGTGTCAAAAAAATGAAAATAAGTTGTTTTTTTTTCCCTGAAAGAAAAACATCAACAGAATGACCATGTATTTACCTCTTTTTATCCAAGAGAGAGGTATAGGTCTGGGGAAAAAATACTACGATAAATTCGTTCAGATTTTAAGCAATGCCAATGGTTTTCTCAATTCAAAAAGGCAGTCGCTTTGTCGATGTTTTTCAAGAAAAATCTGTGTTTCATTTCAACGAACAATTTTTTCGATGCTGTTCTCAAAGTTAGTGAGTAGAAGAGACCTCGAGAAATTTAGATTTTTGCTCATTATTTAGCCTGAGATTTTCATGGATGGATCGTGTCTTTTGTAAAAATAAATATATATTTGTACTTTTGGGTTTGACCGGGATTCGTGTATATTGCGTGATGTTTCTCAAGATTTCAAGCACCCCTCGTTCATTTTTCCCGCAGCTTGGATCTAGCACAAGTATTTCCGTCCACGGATGGAAATAATTTAATCAGGAGATTCCTCGATATTTCTTTCCTCTTTTAATCAGGCAGCCGCCACTTCATTTTGCCACGCACGAAGGTTCATCGCCGGAATATTGGGAGAATTACATGGCACTCGTTTGTTCCTGAAACCAAGAAAATATAAACTGTAGTTTTTCAAAATCCATTTATTAACATTAAGTCTTAAAGTGAGAGTAGCATTTCTACAAATATTGGTATTCCTCAAAACTAATTGTTGATTTTATTACCTTTTGCAGCCCTACATTACCTTTAATTAAATAACCGCTCTATTGAGAGAATTTTCTCAAGAAGGGTCCTTTACTCTTTCATAAAGTTCTCCGATGGACGGAAATTTTAAGATTAATAATATGCACAACTTTGAATAATCTCTTTGATTCCTTACTTATTATTTCTTTTATTTTATTTTAATTTTTCTTTGGTCATTGTTACATTTAAAGATGTATCGTGGCAATTTTCAAAATCTCTACAATAAATGACATCCCAATTGTCTCCAAAAAACAAAAACTAAACTTACAAATATGATGGCTTCCAAAAAGCTAAAGGTTGCATCAGTACAATATCGTCTGAGTTATCGCATAACACTCTTGCCAATGAGGTTTTTCGGATCTCGTTCAGTTGGGCTAGAAGAATAAAAAGGAAGTTTTGGGATAAGAAAAGTGTACATGGAGACTATTAAATTATGAAATATGAGTTAGCTTTGTTCAGAGGGCGCAGTTAAAATGAACGATGATTCTGAAAAATCTTCAAACTTTCAAAACAGTTTACAAAACACTCTTCAACTCTAAAGGTTATGTTTTCTCTAGAATGTTTTGCTAAAAATCGTGCCCTATTACCAAAGTACGAGAGAATTGATAAAACTCTAAACAGAAATAAATGATGAATAGAATTATTTTAGAAGACATTTTTTTCACTTTTTGTAGCCATTTTAAGACTTTTCCGCATCGCGTGGCACTGCGGAGGAGTCCTGCTTCAAATCAGGACTGCTCGGTTACGTTCACCTGATGTGTTCCTATAAGAGCGAAACGATGGGATTCTGCCGACAGACCTGATTCTTTTGACCTGATTTTTTTCCACCGAACTCTCCTGATTCGAGATTCTTGAAAGTAATGCAGCATTTTACCAAAATCATTTTAGAACGGCTACAATGAGTGAAAACAAATTGGTCAAACTCAGCCCTAAAGTGAATTTACTCTCGGCTTGCCTGAAATAAATGAGGTGGCGCCTAACACAATTGTGTTTAAGTAGCTGAGCTCTGGGGATTAACCGATTTTAATGCACAGGAAAAAAATTGGTACTGGTATCTCCTTCGCAACGAAGACTGTTTTCCCCGTTGAGGCGATGAGTATTTTTCTGCAGGAGGATACGAGACGATACAACTCTGGCATCCTTGTAAGTATCCATTTTTTTTTTTTTAACTTTTACTTTCAACCTATTTTTGGCAGACTTTTGCGTGAATCCTTATTGCTTACCAGTGGAAAAAGATGAGAGGTCACCGCCCTCCTCATAGAAAAATCTATCACCGGCCCTCAGTCGTGCAAATTGGTCTCCGACAAGGCAAACAAAAGTGGGTCCCAGTATGGCACCTGGCAGTGGATTTTCGGAAACGGCGCCGATGTATAAATCCACGTCATCAATACTTCCATACACGTTAGCTAGGCGTCCGATCGTCTGTGTGAATTAAAAAAGAAACAAGCTGAACATCAACAAATTGCTAATAGAAACAAACGCTGGTGAAGAAATTTATTAAACATTCAAGCTGACTTGTAAATTTTGCTGTTTACAAAATGTCACTTTTGTACTCCTGCGAAAAAAAACCAATCCAAGAATGTTGATGCAGCTCTTAAAATCAACCTCCACAGGACGACAAGGAGTCACTATAAGTTCTAAGAACTCAATCATACTCTTGACACATGAATGAAAAGTGAAATTTAAGGGGAGTTTGGGGAGACTCGCTGTTTGAGAGACATATTTTAGTTTTGTTTTTTTTTTTTGGGGGGGGGGGGTTATTTTCCCCAAAAATCCCGTTTCCCAGAAAAACTTCAATTTCATAGAAAATAGAAAAAATTCGATGGGATTTTCGGATTCAGCGTGAAACTCAGTTGAGAATAATATGTTTTGATTTTTGCCTTATTTTGGCTGAAGACATGTGTATTTCATGGAATGTTTAATTCCAACGAATGTATACATTTTCCCCGGAAGACAGTCATGAATACAAAAAGAAAACAAGTGAGTCTGCAGAGAACAGGATAAGCACAGAAATATTATGACAGAACGGACCTGACTATCCATCACAGATTCTGCATCATTCCAATTCCGAAGTCTCCTCAAGCCGCAAACTTCCCTCCACTGATTGTAAGGTTGAAGCCCATGATCGCGGCCCCTCTGAATATTGAAGGCGACTAGATCAAGTCCAAACCTCTGGTTTCCTTGAAACAAGTGGTCAGTAACCTTGAATCAGAACACACTATAACTGATCAACTGAAAAAGCGCGTCGGTGGCTCTTCGTCACCTACCGTGAGTGTGGTTTGGTCTTAGATATTGAGAAGTTAATATACAAACCTCATCTTTGCTCTAGTCATTTGCAACCCATTACAAACCCCCTTCACATCCAACTTCGCCTTCTTATCTCTTCACGGAGAAAAAAAACTTCGTGTGTGGGACCAATACCATCTACCCATACCTGGCCATTGGAGAATACGTGTGAGAGTGTGTGAGTAATAGCTCCCGACGTAGACATAGCGGCCATAGCGCAAACGGTCGTTTCTTCATCGAGCTCCACTTCAACATCACGTGGAAATGTGAATTATTTTAGTTTTTCTCATTATTTTGGTGTCAGGACTTATGGAATCATGAAGTTTAAGGTAAAATGTGCAAATTGTCAGGTCTTAGTAAAGGACAACACCCCAAAAAGTTGCTTAACGGCTCTGGGGTTCTACATAGACATTATAGTTCTTCTAGCGAATCCAAGAGATACTCTCATATTCAGCTTCTTTATCTCTACCCATTCTAAATTTTTCTTGAATGGAATGTAACAAAATGTGTTACAAAATAAAATTTCTACCTTTAAATCATAAGAGTTGAAGTGGTCCCCCCCCCTCCTTCAAATAAATACTAACTTGCACCGAAATAAGGTGAAAAAACCAATTTTTCTCAAAGGGGCATGTAATTAGGAGTCTATTTTACTCGCTTCTTTGCGGTTGGGACCTAAACTAGCATCACTCAGCGTCAGGAAGACATCTCGCTTCACGAACCAAATCTTGTGGATGATCACTTGCCTTGTATTCCCCATATGACTCCACCACCATTATTAAATATTTTTTTTCTTCCATTAAAACGCAATTCGGTCGCATATATTTAGCTCAATCGGTCTACCTTGCTTAGAGCCTTCGTAACAAATTTTTTTCCCCGCATTCAAGCACTTTTTATGTAAAAAGAATCAATTTTTGTAAGTTCGCCCTATACAATCCCGTGTATTCTCGGGAGTTACGAACATTTAACCTCAAACCCATGGCCAGGTATGGGTAGATGGTATTGGTGGGACCCGAAGTTGAGGTCATATGGATCTCTGAAGTTTTTGGATCACGTATCTAAAAACTTGAGGTCCAGCTGCCGAAGTTCGGGTCAGAAATCTGAAGTACTTCGATACATACCGAAGTGCCTTGATGTCTGACCCGAACTTCGGCAGCTCGACCTCAAGTTTTCGGATGCGTGATCAGAAAACTCTAGAGATCCATGTGACCTTAACTTCGGGTCCCATGCATGAAGTTTTTTTCTCTGTGATTATATCTCTTTCTCTTTCCCTTAAAGAGGCAAATTAGAATACTGGAAAACTTAATTTTGTGAGTATCTTTCTCTTAATTCAGACAAAATTGACAGAATATTTACAGGAAGTAATGCTATTTAGTCTCCTTCATTTAAAAATTAGAAAATTTGGTAAAGTAAAAAAATTAGTCTGATGGTGTTTAAATTCGTTTTGTTGTTGGGGATAAAAAATTCACCTCTCTATTAATTTCCTTTTAAATCAGATATCCCTTGAAACGCGATGAGACCAACTCGGCCGGACAATTTCTCTGACCGACTAAATTTTTCCTCATTATCCAACATATTCAGACCAAGTCAAACCATCATTGTATTTACAGACAATTTTTTTAGTCATCTACGAGAAAATCCAAACATGTTATAAATTCATTGTAAATGTGCTACGTTGCAACCCGTCCGACCCGTCCGCATGGTTGAATAGTAGATAAAAGCGGAGAAAGCTAAAGCGCCTTCACTTTGGCGGATATGCACCACAGGCATCTCGCAAGCACGAATAGTTGCGTCCGTTGGACATGATACTCTCTGAAGGCGCAACTTGTCAAACTTCAATTTGTGAATTCAACGGTACAGTCTGATTGTGAGGAGAAGAGAATAATTACAAGGATCATAACGTGACGATGCTGTATCTTTCTGTATTCTATTGTCCAGTGGAATTTTCCGGATGTTATTGAAAGGAAACGGGTATGATTGAAACCCTCAAGGCAGTTTATTTAAATTAGAAACTTACTTCTCGTGTGAAAAATCGATCAAATTTCTGGCTGCTTTGGAAGGATAAACCTCGAACGAAGTCATCGATGGCTCCATCAGCGTAAAGGACAAATGGCTGAAAGTGTTGCTTGCTTAGTTGGAAATTTTCTCGAATATGTCCAAATTTACCGTAGCCGCTGTATGAGAAACAATGAGAATAAAGTATTAGTTTATCTACCGCAGAGACTCAGTGATGGTGTATCATATAATCAAAACCTCTTGTTCAATGTCCTCAATGATCAAGTTTTCAGATGCAAGTGGTCATTCCAGCAATATAGCCAGAATTTGCAAGTGTCTGAAATTCTGTGAATTTCATGTTTAAAATGAAATTACCACGAGAATTACTGAGCATTGAATCCTTGGTTTCTAAATGGAACGATGAATGGAGAAAATATGACACAAAAACCGAATTTGCTAAAATACATGTGTTTAAATGGGAAATGCCACCGGATGACGTCACTTGGTGGCACATTTTATTTTTCTAAAATATCCCATTTCAGAAAAAAATTATGAAAATTACTGCGAACTCAGCTCTATGAGCACTCTCAAATGTGATAGTACACACTTTGTGTGCAAATTCTCCATTTAGGAAGGCTTTAAAAGTAAAAATTACTTGAATTCTTAAGACTTACTGGAAATTCCCCTGTATCTGACTATGTCCGAAGCGGAAAGCTGCAGCAGCAAATACGTTTGTTATGCCACCATTTAGGTTCGGATCATAATTGTGCGTGTGTCCAACTTCGCGCGGAGTCAAGCGGAACTTTTCTACATACGCTCTACCTGAAATCAAGGATCCCATTAATTGCGCCGTGATCTCAAAAACCGGCAGACGTTTGGATAAGAAACTAATTATAAATTCATAGGTGCAATCGGAACTTCATGCCATCCGAACTAATCACAAACGTGCTTTAAGCAGAAGATTTTTCCAAGTCAGTCCAATTAAGACTGAAATTATCATCCAGAAATAATATCTATCGTGTGTAGGTTAAAGTTTGTTGCACCTTCTTCGGCGACAGTGGCATTTAAAGACGCTTTCATCCTCTTGTGGTAAGGATGAAAAAGTGCCTTCAGGTAATAGCTCAATTTTGGACTTTTTAAGGCAACGTCATTTTAATAAATGTAATGAAGTCAGGCATAATATTACATAAGGTGGAAACTCGAATTGTTAAGTATAGCAATCACTCGAAAAGCATTCTCTTGGATTCATAGTCCACACTCTAAAAAAATTGACAAGAAAAAACACTCCATATTCAATTGGAATCTTGATTGATCTCCAATTGAATCAGGGGAAATCCGCTTAAATTAAGACGCTGTGCTCTCGATTCAATTGAAAATCCGATTAAATCAAAAGTATTTTTTATTGTCAAATTTTTCAAGAGTCTGAACTCAGGATCTAAGAGACCTCTTTCCAGTGATAATCGATTTTTGGCCATAAACATAGGTTTTCATCTCTTAATGCTAGGCGCCCTTTCTATGATAATTTCAAGAACACCGAGTCGGAATTTCAAGCCATAATGTGTATTAGTAGGGGGTTTCGCGAACGCTTGAAATAAATCTTTTTCTGCATGAGAGTTGCATAATCGTCGGAAAACTTTGACTACGTCTTCCAGAAATTCTTGGTTTATTGTCGTCTATAACTTTGAAACTTCCTACGAGGGTCAAATTTTAGATTTTGTTGTTTTGCATACATTTTGTATTTTTAAAATTTACAAAGGTGTGCCCAATTTTTTTTTCTCTTTTTTCTTTCTTTTTTCCCCCTTGCCTGCACCGAAAAAAATAATATGCTGTTTTAGCACCTAGGATGCTAAAAATGTGTCTGGTGATCTCAAGATGCTGCCGTAACTGCCTACAGAGTTAAAGATGCATTCACAGGATGTAAAGTTAACTGCGAGGCCAGTAAGGACAACAACTCCGGATCACCAGACACATTTTTAACATCCTAGGTGCTAAAACAGCATATTATTTTTTTCGGTGTGACCATTTCGCCGCTTAATGACAAATTGCAAGTTGATTGGAATATTCTCTTTAATCATGCTATTTGAGGGTGGGTGTTACCTAGGACGATGGGGAGGAATTCGTTGTAGGTGATGTGCTGAAGTTCGGCGATGACGATGCGCCTGCTCTCCTCAAAAAGCGCTTCGTCACTCCAGTCCGGGTGCATGTTGAAGAGCTCTTCTGCAACTCTGTTGTGTTCCCGCATCCAAATCGTGTGCATCAGTGCTAACTCGATCTGCTCGTTCACGCGTCCATCTCCTGCCGATCAAACCAGTCTACATTACTGCCGTGCTGCGGAAAAACGCCGTATGAACATTCGAGAGTTGCTAAACTTCCCCGGACAAGAAACGAATTTTTGAAGAAAGTCATGTTTATTTTTCTTTGAAATTTTCAGATCATTTCGATGAAAGTGGGAATAAAACATTCCGAAAGTTTTGAAGAAAAATATTCTCCATTTTCGCAACAAATTCGTTTTTTATTGAAGGGAATCTGGCAACGTTTGAAGCTCATACGGCGTTCTTCCTTAGAACGACGGATTATTTCTCAACCACAAAACCGTAAATCCATCGCTGGACAGGCCAACAATCAGAGATAATACGGAGTAACCCAGAGTCCACCGATCAGACTTCAGGGCGTTTTCTGTCCGTCGAAATAGGACTTATTTTCACAAAATTGTTCCCCTGTTGGAGCTACGACCCCCTCATTTTTTGGGAAAAGCATCGGTTTTTTTTTTTTTTTTATTTTAACGGTGCGCAATTTCAAATGGATTTACCTGCTTGGAAACAGGAGAGTCTTTGCGAGCTGCTACATTCAGAGGGATTATCGGGCAGAAGTTCTTTACCACGGACCACTTGCGCTCGGAGGCGGCCGCCACGGAAAAGCCGAAGCCGTTGCTGCGTGTCGAACGTCGATCCGTAGATCATCGACGCATCTAAGTATCCGGATATTTGATTCATCTACAAATAAAAAATTAAATATAAATTACAAGTTTCAAACAAGATGAATACATTAACTCCTTAAAATATCTTACAAACTTTTTTGAGCGCAAAGCTCAACCTACGTACAACCTTTTTATGAAAAATGACATGCCTTTGTTCCTCACGTAAGAAATGGGTCACTTATTACTTATTTTCCAGGAGATGAGATTTTTATTATGCCCTGTAATCGATTTTTCTTTTTTTTTACTCGAAGAGAGAACTATCAAGTGGACTGCATTTTGCAAAAAGGAACCAAGAGCATTGCAATTATTCTAAGATTGTGCAACTTCTCTTGTCTTGGAAGAAAAACCTCGAGTTAGATAAATTCCATATATTTGCATGATTACAGTAATTTTATTGCAAAGGGTGAAGTCGCACAATCTTAGCAACATGGCAATGCTTTTGGTTCCTTTTTGCAAAATGCAATCCAAGTTACACTCATACCGACAAGGTGCAAAAATCAACAAATTAAAATGAAATCCCTCCCGAGGATTTCTCCATACATCCTAAGGTTAATGATAATTTAATCCCATCAATTTAAGCTAAAAGAAACCAAATATCGAACAGGACAAAAATGAACTTTCTTCATCTATCCGGCTTTGCAGAGATTTAACTTTTAATCACTCTTTACGCTGGGTCATTTAAGTGCGTAGGAACTAAGACGCAGAGGTATTCTATCTCTGTATGAGAGGATGAATTGTGGCCTATCTCACGGATTGAAGGGGCTCTCCTGGCTATCGACTGATCTTTCTATTCTTTCTGCACAAACGTGGAAGTCTACCGCGCTTGGGAACACGTGGACGTATTTATGCTAAAAGACGAGAGACGGGCGGAAAAGAAGGAACGTGTGCTCAATAGTTAAGAGGTGCAAGAATGAATGGGAATTATAAAGCGCCAGTGACGCCAGCAGCGACGACAGAGACGACGATCCGAATCTTAACTCATGAGCCCTATCCGTAACGCTCTTGTCACATGCATACGGCTCATGAGTTAGCATATTTTGACACTTAGTTCCTCCCTTTTAGCATAAATACGTCCACATGTTTCCAAGCGCGACAGACTCCCACGCTTGTGCAGATAGATTCGTCGATAGCCAGGAAGGCCCCTTCAACTCGTAAGATAGGCCACAATTCATTCTCTCAAGATTTAATGTCAAATCCCACTTTTCCATATTGCCAAAAGGAATCACGCCCACGTTTACATCGTTTCTTATGCAGTTCAAACGAGCACACTCCATCTTTTCCACACGTCTCTAGTTCCTTTTAGCATAAATTTGTCCATCTAATATTTGGATTGCATTTTGCAAAAAGGAACCACTAGCATTGCAATGTTGTTAAGATTGTGCAACTTCTTTTGTCTTGGAAGAAAACCCCGATTATCCATTAATAGTTTCTATTTTACTCGCTAAAAACTGTAAACTTAAGACAAAAATCATCATCTAAATTTCATAGTTTTTCACGATTTCCGCAATTTTATTGCAAATGATGAAATTGCACAATCTTAGCATCATTCCAATGCTAGTGGTTCCTTTTTGCAAAATGCAATCCATTTGACTGTGCACGTTCAGAAAAATGACTCCTACTCACTTGTTCCCTGGGGCCGAAATTACACTCGGGCCGAGCAGCAGGCAAAGAGCGCACGAACTCCATGCAAGTTTCGCCGAACTGAGCAAAAACAGGATCGTTCCTCGGAATGCCGATCGGGAAACAATCAGGATGTCGAAGTCTTTTGTCGATCACTTTTCCACCACGGCAGCAAGCAATTCCGCTACCACCTTGACCTATAACCAATCGGAAGCAAGACAATTATTTCAATCCAATTACAGCCATCTCGGAATCTTCATTACAGGTCAAATAGAAAAATAGAGTTGCAATTCGTCTTTTCCCGGACGAGGGACCCTAGCTCTAATCCACGATTGCAAAATTGACTCCGAACATTTCAATTTTTGCGAGAATACATTGTTCAATTCATGTTCGAAATTTTGCTAGTATAAATGAGTAAGGAGGAGAAAAATCAGCCAAATTTTCAAATAGAACAGACCTCTAGGTAAGATATGAATTAGGACACTACACAGCTTGCTTTCTCTTCAATATTCCACGAGGAAAATGAATCTTAGATTAGAAAGTCCAAAAGTCAACTCCTGAACAAGATATAAAATTGTATTATCAACATTGCTTAAATGGCAAAAATACAAAAGACGTAATTTGTATTATTTGACTTGTTTGGTGGTATTTCTGTCAAACGGAACTATGTGCACTATGACATGAGCCCTGTTATGCATAAAGTCTTATGGGTCTTAGGGCTCATGTCTTAATGCACATAGTTCAGTTTGACAGAAATACGTCCTTTTGATCTGTGTGAAGAATACTTACTTGTTGATGCCTCATTCAGGAATCGATTTTCAAAGTTCCCAATTGTGCGAATCGTTTACTACGTAAGATTTTGAAGTGAAAACATCGGACATTGTGTTTTACATATAGTTCAGACTTTGGTCCATTGCCCAATATTTTTCTAGAAATAATCCATTTTGCGAGTAGATTTACTTAACATCGCAGCTTTTCAATACTTATAATTAAGACGCAAAAAGCGCCAGGGAGTTGATTTGACTCTTTTGAAAATCTAGAAATTTAAAAGATCATTTTAGTCCAAATAACCAACATACGTCTGTTTTCTACTCAATTGGACGGATTTTTTTGGTACCTCGACTGATGGGGGTATGCGTGAGATCATGGTCCAGGAACTGACCCCACTGCATAACCATGAGCGTGTGATTGGCGTCTGGTACGTCCGCATCTTGAGCCACTATCGAGCTCACCAGTCTGGCACTGGGCAATTCTCGGCCATCGATGCCGTTAGATCTTGGCGAAGTGATCCCTGCATGAGAGAAGAAAAAAAAGGATCAAATGCAAAGAAATTTGAAACAATTTAAATTGAAGAAATTTTGAAAATATTTCGCGACGCATACATAAAATATCTTCATTTTAAAACCCTCTGATAGTAGTCTGAATGAATGATATTATTCGTGCCATCGCCATGGAGATCTCTCCCAGACTTGGGGCCGCTCATAAAATACGTAACGCTCAAGGGGAGAATGACCCAGAGTAGCGTCACGTGACACTGTTTTTTTTTTTTTTTTTTTTCCTTTTTTACCGGGAATTTTTTACGTACATATATGTTATGCACAGCTCATTACATAGAGGTAAATCCAAACAATATAAATGATATGATCAATTTGCATGGTAGCTTCATTATGTTCGGCTAATTTTCTATGTTTTTATTTATTTCTTTAACAGAGAAAATTGTTCTGTTAATGATTTGGCAATTATAATTCCATAAAAAAATGAAGAAAAAAATAGGATTTATTTTTCGATTTGGTATCACACTCACCATCGGTATACTTCGGCGGTAAAACCCTTTGGTAAGCGGTTCCAACTCTTCCCCAGTGACCATTGACTAGATTGTTACAAACGCCGTCGATTGACCTGTACTTCAGTCTGGGGCACTGCAACTTTTCCGGGCATGCGTCAGCAATGACCGTGTTCAAAATACTGAACTGGGGTAAGGCGAATGTGCTTTGGTCCGGGCTCAAATTGAAGCTGAAAGTAAATTATGAATTAAAACATGATTTTGAGAGATGCTTTTGTATGATGCATCTGTTAAAGAATTTTTCTCCAGGCTATGACAAAAATAATGAGCTCGAACAGTTATTAAAGAACACAACTTTTTTTCGTGGATTTGTTGGCTGATCTCCCGTTCGAATCCTACAGCCATCCCTATACTTTATAATGGGTCAGTTGCGCTGGTTACAGAATCGTGTTTTGATGCTTGATTCCGTAGATTAACGAGAAATAATAAGATCCGTCCCCCAGGGCCGGATATACCTACTTGCCGCCCATGGGCCGCTAGTATTTTGCCGCCCCCTTCCCATTCGTTTTGAAACATCAATGAAAACCATCAAATGAACGTGCCAGCGGGGGAGGGGTGCATAAGACGCGTTCACTGGTGTTGTACAAATTTTTTGGGAAAGCCCTGTCAACACTACTAGCAATAGTTCACGGAACTTTGCGCGAAAGTCAAGTCTCGTAAACCTATCTTTGTGTGGACAAGGCCTTTCATTCATAAGAAATGAACGAGAAAATTAAGAAAGAACAAACATAAATATGGACCGCTACGCTACGCCATCATGGCCTGAATTATTGGTCTAGAAATATGGTGTCTTCAAACATACATTAACTGGAAAAAAACTTCGGCCGTGGAAGCCGTACTTACCGGCTGTATAGACATATCGTCCGCGTTCCGGGCTCAGAGGACGAAAATTTCGAGCTTAGCACCCGGAGTAATCGAAGATACGGCTCCAGCACCCGGAAGTATCGGCCTCTGAGCCCGGAACAGACGTTGTGCCTATAAAGCCCTGACTTTTTTTCAGTGTCAGCTACGTGGAGAGCGTATGAGTAATCCATCAAATCCATCCGGCCTTCACCGATGCCTCCCTGAATGAAATCCAGGCCCAAATCTAGTGCTTTTAATAAAAAATAAGGACTGAGAATTACTTCCAGTATATGAATGTGTGCTGAAAATGGTTCACATAACATTCCGTCGTGCGGATGTGACACTCATACACATACTCATTGTCAGGAGCTGCCACGGACATTGTTGAGAGAAATTGCATCGACGCCTCATGCCACGGTCGAGTCACTCGGACAATGGTGAGGGTTAAGCAAAAGTATTCCTAATTTCTCAAATTTTAGCTACATCGGCGCCGTCAATAAAGAAGAAGGACAAGGTCTACTAATCTAAGAGGCAGCAGGACGTCTGCCCGGAGTTAAGTGGCTGAAACGAGTGCTGATTATACGCGCGCAATGTCACTTATTGTTCTCGATTCTCACCTCCTCATCAGGAATTAAGATCGAATTTACACCTCTTCATCAAACTTGCGAGGGATCGACCTTCGAGTTTGGTTTTAATGGACCATCAAACAGAATCTAGGTACGTACCCCCTTTCCGTTGATGATGCATGATTCACTGGAAACCGCGGTTTTTTCTCATTGCAGAGGCGCACAAACGTACGAATCATTAGGAGACGTTGGACATACAATTTTTGACTAAAATTGAAAATTGTGATGTTTATTTTGTCATCTAATGCATTTTAAGGGGTGTCTCTTGAATAGAAATAAAGTTTACGAGACAACCAATTATTGAGAAACTTTAAAACTTCTAAGTTTCGTATCTATGAAGATATCGACAATGTAACTCCCAAACCACGTATCTCGGTTTGCGAGTTCCGACGCACGGTGGACTGAGTCAATGGGAGAGGTCGGACATGATATTTATTAATACACAATTTTAATGTTTTAATAATAGTTTCATTGGTTTTCTCGTAAAAATTCCTGTAAAAAGCACCCCTTAGAATTAAAATTGTGATGAGATAAACGTAAAATTGTACAATTTTTGTCAAAAATTTCATGTTCTACTTCTCTCATTGACTCGATCCACTGTGTGACGTTGCAAATTTCCCGTCACATTTTAATTTTTCAATGGAAAACTACTTCACGGCAATTTTTAAAAAAACTGTTGTGATTTTTCGTCCATGAGTGAAGAAAATTGTTTGAAAACTTCTAAGCATGATGTTGGTTTACTACCCTTTAAAGAAGTAAAATAGAAGGGGATATTTTAAAGGCCCGCAAACGATATAAGTGGTTTTGGGAGTTTCACTGTCGATACAAGCTTGTGGAGTTTCCAGATATTGTCCGCCTTCTCCCATTGACTTGATCAACTGTGAGGAGCAACAAATTAAGTGTGAGGTGGCATCACTAACAGATGTATCAGTACACCGACAATTACACCCACCAGGAGATGTAGGATGGATCGTACGTATATGGAGCTGTTGGTTTCCTCGTTCCCTGTGATGTTAGAGTGTCTTTAGAGAGAGTGTAAGAACTAAAGGACCCAATTCTGATTGGCTCAACTATCTCAGGCTACGTGGGACCGTTCGGGGCTGGAAAACATTAGATCTAAAAGGATGCTGGACGTTTAAAATTTCTGAAGAGTTGGCTATACCCGCACTGGCAGGATCGCGAATCTTATATTCTCAACGCAATAGGACGTGCATGGTTACAATTGAATATCGATTTTGAATGTTACATTGACAAACTTTTTAGTGCAACCACCGTGACAATGATGTAATAGTACGCCCTCTGTTAGCACAAGAGTGAATTGAGCCGCCAGTGACTTATTCTTAGTGGCGCCAGAAAGGGGTTTTCATCGATACCCTGGTAAAAATTGGCAGTAGAATCTGTGTTCCAAAATAGCATAGACCTACGGCCGGCTGTAAAATTTCCAATAGCTTCTGTAGCCGTTTACACAATTTCTTATAGCATTTTATAGCCGATGGCGATTAAGCAACTCACAGCCAGGCGATAAAGTGTATGCTAAACGTCACTATTACGGATGCTAGGACTTAGTGAGTTTTAGGACCACTGCTCTCTTTTTGGGCCGCACTATCTTGATTTATTTTGCGAGGAAAGCTCCGTACTTTTGATGGATGCCTGCCATTTCTAATATATTAGAGCGCCTTCAGTTTCGTATGATACTGTGCAATACCTCTGGTGTGAAATAGTTGCTTCAAGCACCGTGGCACGCTGCGGTGCGGCAGGCGGGAAGCCAGCGCGAAACGCGCATTGGCGCCTACAAACCTAACAGGAATACTTCACGCGTTGCGCAATGCGTGAAGTATCCCTGTTAGGTTTGTAGGCGCCAGTGCGTCGCCGCTCCGCTTTGTGTTAGGCTCTGATATTTAATCTCGCGGAGTCAGCGTTATTCAACTCATGATTTTGAAACGTTTGCACATCCTGTATGGATTATTCTCGTTTTAATTGATGAAAAAAAAATACGTATTAAAGGAAAATATAACGTGTGTTTTGTAAATATTAAGGTGGCTCCGTATCAAAGTTAATGATTTCCAAAGCACACGAATTTCTACACAATTTCTTATAGCATTTTATAATCGATGGCGAAAAAACAACAGCCAGGCGATAAAGTGTAAAGCCCGGCTATAGGAACTATAGCCCGGCTGCATAATTTTTTATCGCTTCGTATAGCCCGGCCGTATGCTTTTCTCCGCATTCTACAGCCAGCTATATGATTTTCTGTAGCCTTCTTAAGCCGGCTATAAGAATTCCTATGGTATTTTGAAACGCAGCTCTTATCGCCAATTTTCACCAGGGTATCTCAAAATACGATTTTTCAACTCGACTTGACATGCAGATATTTTGCCTCAATCAAAAAAACTTCTCACGTCAGACTCGAAATTTGCTTCTAATAGATTCCTGAAGTTTTCAGATCATGCATCCGAAAACTTAAGGCCCAACTGCCAAAGTTCAGGTCATCAGGTCACACATCTGAAGTTCGATTGACTCTTGAGAAATTTCAACGAAATTCAACTAAAATTCAGGTATGTGACCCAAACTTCAACGGGAGGACCTCAAATTCTTGGATGCACGTGCCGAAAAACTTCAGAGATCCGCACCGTATGACCCCCCGAACTTCGGGTCTCACGCATGCGCGAAGTCGTTCTCTGCGCACGGGGTCCTCAGGGGTTCGTAAGCTCAAAAGTTTGTGAACCACTCATTTGAGACTTCCAAAAAATGAGGAAATAACCAAATTCCTCTAAATTCGGCAACATCGCACATCGCGGAGGCTCAAACAATGTAGTGTAAAACATCCTTTACCTCGAGGCGCGAGCAAGCTGCCGCGCGCCGCGCTACTGCGCCCGTGCCCTCCATTTGATTTCGCCCCATGGAGTCCCACCGATAATTCCCTACGTATACACACCTCACCAACACACACACGCCTAAAAACACCACACATACGCGCGAAGACGGCGCATAGGAGCAAGACAGAAGGAGGCTCGGAGCCCGGGAGAGAAAGGAGCAGAGGAAGCGCGAGCGAAAGAACAAACGAAAGAAAATTCTTGAGCTGTATGTTTTGCATAATATATTACCGTAGCGGGACTTGCCAAAAACCGTCGAGTCGACGAATGATAAGCTAATTCATGGAGAATAAGCGCCGTAACTCTTAAATAAATGAAGCAGGCATTGATATTCAGTTCATACATTCTTGTTATGAATTTCTCTCGCCGGGCATTCAGAATCTATTACCGCCTCGGAATAAATTAAATTTAAAGAAAAAAAAACCTAATGGAGAATGATCTTCTCCGGGCCTGGATGAACGACTTGAGAATGTTGCACGTAGGCAGGTTAATAAGAGACCAATATGCGGAAACTTTGGCAAGAATCAGATAAGACGCTAAGTGATAAGAAAGAGACTTATGGGATTGCTTTATGCCTACATTTACGCGGTTATTAGACGTCTATATTCCGGTGCCATTCAAGAATCTCCCATTAGGAGACTCCACGTAGGAGGTGCAAAAGAGAGTGATCAAATCTGCCGTGCTGAGGAAAAACGCCGTATGTACATCCGACAGTTGCCAAATTTTCTCTCTCAAAATACTGATTCTCGAGAAAAATAATGAATATTTCCACTTGAAATCTTCTGATACTTTAGATGACGTTCCGAACAAAATTCTCTAGAAAATTGGACGGAAAACGTTCACAAGTTTTACTGAAAATTCGTATTTTATCGGGAAAAATTTGGCAACGCATAAAAGTTTATTCGGCGTTCTCGAAATGTTCGGCGAAATGTTTCAAACAGACTTCTCTTATCCTCCCCGTCCCTTCCGCAGAAAAATAGAAAATGGTAACTAAAGAAGGAGGGCGATAGGAATAAGAAAGAAAGGAAAAAGAAATTCTAGTCTCGGCTAGCATCCCCCCCCCATCTTATACGTGTATATCTAAAGCGGAGAGGAGGTTTTTGATGAATGGTCCTGAAAATGCCATCGTACTTTTGACAAGACACTCCATTATAATTTTTTTTCTCTTTGATCCACTAAATTGTTGTCTGATAGCAGCATTTATATTTGTAGACGCACGATTCATAATGACCAATATATTGCAATGAAGCTCTTGTATGTGTGGGGGATTTGCGATTTAAGTACTTTTTTTGCGTACAATTTCGCGAGAAATTCGACGGTCTCACTGGTTTTCTTACTCTAAAGCTCAAAAAAGCTATCCGGTCAATGGGCCTCAATTTTGAGAGCTTTGTTTGAGCTACCTATGGAGTTTGTTACGACTAAAACCAGTGGCACAATCGTGTTTCTCGCGAAATACAAAGGAATCAATACTTAAACCGCAAATTCCTGACACATGCAAGAGCTCCGTTTTTTGGCAGTGACTTTAACGCGCGTCAATCTCAGAGTCAATCAAAGTAATTCCTGAGAGTGATTCCTGCAATCAAAGAGTAGTTCCTGGAAACACAAAAACGATGATGGTAGCATGGCTTGAGAGGTCATGTTAGAAGGCGAAGAATTTGCAACGGACAATTAAATCCATCCGATGGAGCAGAACTCAATGAAACATAACATGATCAGAGAAGATGCCAGTGAATTCAGAAACGATAGAAGGTGCAAAATATTTGATTGAAAGATTATCTAAAGGTCAATACCATCCGTTTTAAGTAACATCAGCCAAAAAAATCTCGAGCGATGTCAATCCCCTCTGAAAAATGCATGGGGGAGTTCACTAATTATGTAGAGCACAGTTTCGTGCCTTTCGGTGATTCCCTCCCCCCCCCCCCCCCCNTGTATCCCGGGACCTAGAAGTTTGACCTTCTATGTGGGTCATTATTACAGTACCTCCGTGGGGCAAATATGGTCGTTTGTATCTTTTTAGCACAGGAAAGTTTTGCCGCCCGATGATCGGTCTAGGAGTTTTAAGCTTTCGTGGAACTCGTGAGGACGTAACAAACGATCTTACTCGTAGATAGGTCTCAGGGAGCCTATGCCGATCTTCTCACGAAAAACTTCTTGGCAACAAACGTCTATTTCTCGATTCATATAATTCTAATCCGTCCGATCCATTCCAATTAATTGCTTCTTTCTTACAGGTATATTTTTATGACTCAAAATAAGTCATAAAGTTTCCCTGATCAAATATTAACACGTTTAAGTGGACTACATTTCTAATGAAAAACCAATTTCTTGGTCGTTTTAAAAAGAAAATCTGGATGACAATCTGCAGAGATGAACTATGAGGTCTGATGGACTTTTTGTTCAACAGCTTTCTTTTTGAAAAATGACATGCACTCGTGCCGTAAGTTTCCCATGCGGGTAGGTCCTTCCATTCTACCGTGCTAAGGAAGAACGCCGTATATATGAACATTCGAGAGTTGCCAAATTTTCTCTGATAAAATGTTTATTTTTGCGGAAAATTGTCGATATTTTTCCTTGACATTTTCAGACTTTTTAGATCAAATTAACAAGCACAATTACCTGAGAAATCGGAAGAAAAATATTCACAAATTTTCTTGCAAATTAGTGATTTGTCAAAGTAAATTTGGCAACGCCTGAAGGCTCATACGGCGTTTTCCCTTAGCACAGCAGCATTGATGAGCCAGCAAAAGAAAGAAGAAAAATGACGTTTTGTGGACAAATTTTCCAGTCAAGAGGAGGGAAGGATCCCTGGCTACGCTACTGTGTTTCCATAGGCGGATCTAGGTGGGGGGGCGTAGGGGGCGTACGCATCCCCTGTTCGCCCGAAAAAAAAAGTGGTAAGAAAAAGGAAAGGCGCTAATGTTAGGTACTTATTCCCGAAAAAATTTTCTCACACCGCACAAGGTAGATTAACACAGGTATGGACAAGTTGGAAATTTCCCATGAACCTCAGTACGTGTCACATGACTTCGTGACGTAGGTTAAGGGGCCAGTTTGACCGCGCTATTCTCAACTTTATTGAATAATTGCTCCATTTAAACATCAAAACACTATCACGCATTAACAATGGTAGGTAATAAGATCCTCGGGATCAATTAAAATTATCTCCAAAACTTAAATTACGAAGTAATACCAAATTCCAATACCAATAAATCACCAACCAATCACAATAATGAAAGCATAAAAATGGCGATCGTTAAGGGGCCACTAGAGAGCCAATCACAGGCCGGATTTTCAACTTGTCCATACCTCTGCTAATCTACCTTGCACACTGCATGTAAAATGCTTTAAAATTTCGAAAAATTTCTGGGGAAGCCCTCCGGACCCCCCTTCCGCCCCCCCTCCTCCGTTCGAGGTGTCTGGATGCGCCTACGGTGTTTACTGAGTTCTTGGGCAAGACGGGAGTCTAAGTTGGATAATTTCTTACTCTTTGGAGAGGGATACGCTGGCCTCGATGGTTTTCTGTGCTTTCTGACCTTGCTCGAGGGTGGCGTTGGTGGTCGGGAAGAGCTCCTGGTGGGAGGCTGTCGGGCTCCCCGGCTCGACGAGGATCCTATTGTTGAGCAGACTGGACTGGAGGGTGAGCCGGTCTCGAACTTTGGTGACGGCCGCCTTGGCCGCCTGCCGCAAGTCGCTCGTCGTCAGCGGAGGTATTTCCACTTTGGGCGGCGGTGGCGGCTCCAGGATTCCGGTCTTCGTCGGCACTGAAACAAACATTTTTCAATTATCAATCCATCCAGCCATCGACTAATCTATCGCACCAAGAATCGCTACAAGGGCCGAGTTAGACACCAGTGCGGACAGTTATGCCGTGCTGCCGTATTTTCTTCGATAAACTATTATTTTTTAAAAACATTTTTTGCATAAGTGCACCTTTCTAGAGCAGGGACCTAGGGCTTTCCATGAATGACGTCAAGAGCCCCCCCCCCTCCTCCTTCCATGACAAGTACATGTCAGGCAGCGTTGTAGTTCCTGTTAAAGTTTACGTGGCGTTTTAGGTCAGTCCCTCACACCTATTAATTGGACTGCGTTTAGCAGAAAGGAACCAAGCCACATCAGCTATTGCCAAAAACCGGGCAATTTAATTTTTCACAAGAGAGCGTTTGTGCGGATTCTTTTGAAAATTTCAAGGAATTTGCTTCGTACTATAGGAGGAAAGTTCACCGAAATTTGCACAAAAATCCACTCAAACGTTTTCATGTAAACGATTAAATTGCCCAAGTAAATTTGGCTATGGCTGATGTGGCTTGGTTCCTTTCTGCTTAACGCTGTCCAATTATCCGTGAGAAATTGACACTCAGCGACGGATCCGATCAGTATTTGCTTAAAAGTGAGTGCTTCCCGCCAATTTCAGCCTGAAATTGGGGTAGCTCAATCAGATACCCCTTCCCCCTCCTAATCTCCTCCTCGTCGCATATGCACCCTCCTCTCCCCTTCCCACACTCCATCGTCAGTGTACTTGTCAAAAATTTCTGGCTTTATGGCCATTGACCTGATGGCTTTACCTTCATGGCTGATCTTTAGTATACAAAAAGTTGAATTCCATCGAATTTCCATTTAAATTTCGCGACTCAACTGCACAAAAATCGCTGTTTTGATAAAGTATTCTCCCTAAAGTAAGCTCCCTTTTTCGTGGACGGTCAAATATTTGCCATTAAAATTTTTAGTCTCGTGAATTTTAAAAGATGAGTTAAATTTTCAGAAAATTTTAAAAAAATGCACAATTTTTTCAGATAACTTCAATTTTATGGCATAAAATTTGGCAACGTTCGGGTGTTAATACGGCGTTCTCCTACAGCACAGCAGAATTATCCAAGCACCTAAATCCGGATGGTTTTGAATTGATTCACGCCTCTGTCCTCATCTGTCTATAACCCCTTTACCCCTCCCTCCTGTCTCTTGTTTTAATCTGACTTTTGCGCTCCTCTCAGATTCTTTCACCCCTCTTCCTCAGGATTCTAGAGCTGGTTTCAGATAAGTATGCCCTTTTCCATCTTCGGTTCCACATTTTGACTGATTTTGGATTAAAAAAGGGAACGCTTATCTGAAATTGGTAATACATGGGAGTGATTTTGATTTGAAGAACTGTTAAAACCTTTCTGTCAACGATTCTGCGGCCAAAATTGCTTACAAGATATATATCCTTTAAACCGGATACTCAAAAAGTCAGTAAATGTTTGCTAATCTAATGACAATCCATCTCCGTGATTGTATTTCAATCAACTTTTCGATAAGAATAGCTTGATACACTCTTGACACAACTCATTTTCTTAATATTTTCTCGGGCACCCCCTCCCCCCCCCCTTGGGCTATGGATGTCCTTCTGAGCCCCCCTTTGGAGCTGTTGGAATTCTTCAGATCCCTCTCTAGGGTGTCTTTTCATACTCTTTCAGATCCGCTTGATCAGCTGTGTTCTTTGTCCCCTCTCTCTAAAAAAGTTCCTAGTTCCGCTGAATGGCAGCTTCCAATACCTGAAACCAGAGAGACGTAAGTTTCTGATTTGGGAAATGCCTCAAAAGACTAGCTGCAGGTTTGTATTGACCATCCGCAACCATGTGACCGTCTCTCAAAATCGTAGTTCGAGGCAGATGCCTCTGCAGATTCTTTGCCGGTTATCTCTATGAAAAAGGCGCGGAGTGCTGCTTAATCTCTCAAAAAGGTCGATAGTGAAGGAATCGAAGTTAGTTTTTCAATTGAGGGGGCATAGGAGGCACTTAATCCGCCCCACTATTCGTTTAAAAATTTTCACCAGCCTCCCTACATATCGCGAAGAATATTTGGATGTATTTCTGGCAAACGAAACTATGTGCATTAAGACATGAGCTCTGAGACCCAGAAGAATATATGCATATCAGGGCTCACGTCATAATGCACATAGTTCCCAGAAATACGTTTGCCAGAAATACGTTCATTTGGCTACGTCGATGCTGAAATTAATTACGAATAAATTTCCCATAAACTTGTAAATGGGAATCTACCTAGGCGCTAAAAAACACTTTGAACAAATCACCGATTGTCTACGAATTTTTCCCCGCCTAAATTTATGAGATGTCTATAGCAATTTGTCCGCGTTAATACCGCCAGGATGTCTTATTTATGGACGTATTTCTACCAAACGGAACTTTTTGCATTAAGATATGAGCCTCGAGACCCATACAAATGTACGCATAACAGGGCTCACGTCATAATGCACTTAGTTCCGTTTGGCAGAAATACGTCCAATTTATGTGATTACGATGAGCGAGACGAAAGCGGAATTTACACAGTTGATCTCATCTTATCTATGAGGAATCCCATCGGCCGACTGAACTAAGCGGTATGCGTCGAGGCGCCCGGCCCTTCTATAAGCAATAACCACCTGACTCCCATGCGAAGCCCTCTTCAGATGCGCGGTTTCGGGTTGGCGTGACCCGGCGTGTCCAGCGTCGTGTCCGCGGAGTCGTTGAACACGGCGATGACGGTGCATGGCGCGTGGCGGTATTTTTATAGCGCAGCCTGAATGACGTGTTGGCGCTGTCGGCTGTGGAGTGCGGAGTGTGGAGCAGTGGGCGAGCGATCGAACCACGCGCCACAGCCGCAGCTCTGTCTAGGATGTGCCCGGACGCATTGAGGATGATCCTATTATAAACGAGTCGTGAGGGCATCAACGAGTCATTCCTGGAAGTTGCGTCGGTGTCGACCGTCAAAAGGAATCGCGGGATTTTAATTAATATCCATGAGCTAAGCCGGGAACATCAATGGACCGTTATTGTTCTCTCCAGACCCGAAGAGGTGTCCAGATCTGCTTATAGATTCTGACCTAGTGGCAGCTCGACCCGTCACACAGTGGATCGCGTCGATTAGAGAGGTCGGACATGAAATTTTTTATTAAAATTGCAAAATTTGATGTTCATTTCGTCACATTTTAAATTTCACGGGATGCTTAAATTTTAAGACGAAAATTTCACGAGAAAACCAATGGTACGACTTCAGAATCTTGAAGTTTTGTATGAACGGAGTTATAAGCGTTTAAAGTTTCCAAATTTTGTCCGACCTCTCCTATCGACTCGACCCTTTGTGCGTCAAATCGTCCCGGGAGATCGAGCCATGCATTTCTGGCCTTACTGGAAGTTTCCAGATATTTACTCTCATGCACTTTTGAATGCATGTAACGGAATCTTTTTCAAAAAATTACCATGGTTGGAATGCACACGGACGTATTAGAGGCTTTGGGTGCAGAAAAGGCATTTCTAAGTCGGTTTCAGTATTTCAGAATCTCAACTGCTAATTTATATTATAGGAAGGAAAGTATTTAGTGAATTTTCTAATAAAAACTTCATTTTCAGTATAGTAAAATCATATAGAGCATTCAGTAAAAGTTTCAGTAAATTCCATTAATTTGCTTCTGTCATCATGGATGAAACGTGAGCGGAGATTCTGAAAGCTGAAACATACCGCAACCAAGAAATGCCATTTCTCCACCCATTGCCCCATTTATGCTGAGAGGAATTACATACAAGAAAATTAATGAAGTCAAATGGAACTATGATGCACTCAAATCCTATTCACGTGCTCCTTTCAATTAGAATACGTCTATGTCGCCCAGTATACCCCACCAAATTCGACTTGTGCATTTACTGGTAAAGCTACGCTATTGCTAAAAATCACACTTTTTGCCTTTTCCCAAACATATGACTCGTATTTGTGTCGGAGTGGATAGTTAGTCAAGATCATAATTTTAGCTAGGTCTCTTTCCTAAAAAACCGAATAATACTAACTGTGCGGTAGTACCTCGAAAGCTGCGAGAGTGTGCGTCGGTTCAAAATTGACCGTGAATCATGCTTTCCCGCGCTTTTTCGACCGCAACATTCCAATTTGCCTTCTGATCGAATTATTAGTGACAAAACTATTAGTAAGGAACTACTGACTTTGCATTGTGACTATAATTGTGCAACTTCAACCCCTAGAATAATCTAAATAGGGAAAGATCATTTTAAGAAATTTGCAGGATACTTTGCCAGTTTAATTAATATTCCTTGTGTAAAAATAGGAACTGTTTAAATTTTCAGATCATTATCATTCATACAAGGTAAAATATAGTGTACAATTTTACCGACGTGGTAATGATAGTACTATCTCTCACCAAAATTTTTTTTCTTGAAATTATCCGATCGTACTTCTCCTCCCCGATTCATCTTCAATTCTTTAAAGGACTTATGTCTTTTTTTTTTTTTTTTTTTTTTTTTTTTTTTTTTTTTTTTTTTTTTTTTGTCATTCATACATTATTCTGAAGGTCCATGAATGATCTAAAGGTAACCAACTTTTCGATCTATCAGAGGCCCAGGTTTTGTCACTATTTTTCTCGTGTTTCCGTCGCGGTTTAGCAAATATTTGCAGTTGTCGCGGTTTTAAAGGACAAAATTCTGGTGGTTTCGCGGGAATTCGAGGTCTCGCAGATTTTTGCGACTCCGCGCGGATTTGCGGTTTTACCGTTTTCGCTGCCCTTGGCGATTTCGTGGTTTCTCTGAATCCAAAAAAGAGCGAAATGGTTGGCGGCATAACATTTCGTGCTTAGTAGAACATTTCTGATGTTTTTGACGTCCATCATTGAAATGTAGGTATGACTCCAAATTCACGTGGGCTCTGAAAAGCACGGATGGGTGTGTACCACGACCACGGGTCAAAGGCTGGAATATTAATTTCCTCAGGGCGAGGAAGGCTAGCCCCGTCAACCGCATGCTGTCATGTTGAGGAAGAACATCGTATGAACATTCAGCTGTTGCCAATTTTCTTCCCATAAAATATTGATTTTTTTAGGAAAGATATTAATTCTTTTCCTTGAAATAATCAGATACTTTATATCCATTGCGGATAAAATTTCTCAGGCACCCTTGATTACTATGGCAACTTACACTGAAAAAAAAGTGGCTTGGATCAAGCATGATAATTCTTGAATTTGCCGCCAAGAATTTTCTTTATCTTGCTTTAAGCTGACTTTTTCTTGATTCAAGAAAAATAATGCTTGGGTTAAGCAAAAAAGTAGCTTATATTAACCAGCAAAATTCTTGATTTAAGAAGAAATACTTCTTGGCGGCAAATTTAAGATTCTTTTTTTTCCAGTGTGGAGAAAAGTATGCCCCCAGACTCGATTTAAAAATTAGTGACACGGAAATTATGCATTTGGAATGTACTCCAGATATGTATGATGCACGGAACATGATTTGCGTAAATTTTACTCACGAAAAGTCTCCTCAATTGTTGTACGTAACACGTATATTTACACGTCTAAGGAGACTTCAACGAATGGGCAGAAACGTAAACTAAAAGTATGTAGCTTTATTCAGTATGCATTCTAAGATGAACGGAGGAATCATGTTGCATTTTATCCCATCTCTGGGTTCAATCAACTGGTTTGGGATGAGGCAAGATAATTTAAATGCAAAATTTTTCCATATCCGCTTTCAAAGCGCATCAGAAACTCATTACAGTATGGTGTCCGCAATGGTCAAGCCTCGATAAAACCTCTTAGTTATGGGATTCGCGTATACCGGGGCTATATTTTCTTTGGAATTGAGGGTCTGGAGGGTGGATAGTTGAACTTCCTTGATAAATAAGAATATGAATTAACATTCGAATGTTGTCGAATTTCCTTCGGAAAAAGATGTATTTTTGACAAAAGTTAAGAACACGCGACCGTCCATAGGAAAGGGTATCTACATTCAAAATCACTCAAGAATACATCATCACGGGTACGAAAGCATAGTTGAAAGCTTTGCGCATATATTAGAGTCAAAATTCGGAGTAATAGCGCTTCAATTTTTGCAATATATTAAAAAAATGGTGTTCCAAGAGAAAGGCCTTAAAAATTTTAACCTGCTGTGATCAGGATCAACATTTCCCCAATTTTAAAGCACATTTACACCCTTCATTGGCATCAAATTGGATGATATCTTTTCGTGCGTTTGAAGTATTTTTTGTCAGAAAACTGAGCAAAATTTTATATTGAAATTTTATGACCAATGGAAACATTAATGGGCGGTTTTATTGCAAAGATTCTCAATTTTCCTTTAAAATGCAATAAACGGAAGAAAATTAGGCAACGTAAAATTTAGTTGGGATAATTCTGTCTATATCGATTCAAGCTTCTATACAACAGCGAGCAGAAATTTGGGAGTTTTTAATTACGACGTTGCCCTCTTTATCGTCAAACCTTTGAAACTTTCTCTGCTATTAATTCGCGAATAAGTGAATCAAGGGGTCGCGGATATGCATGGCGAGGTTGTTCCACCAGAAGTCAATCGCGAGCATGAAAAATCATAGATTCTGGAGTCCTGCTCTTCTATTAGGTAGGAGAAAAAAAAACTCCAGGAAATTAAATACGGCGAGGTGTAAACTTTCTTTGCCGCACATACATGCGCCCAGAAATATTTAACGAAGAAGAAGGAAAGTCAATCAAAAGACTCCAGTTATGGATGACAGCTAGTACTAAGTGAAGACAATTGTCCCAAAATAGTATGTATTATGTGCTAAAATCGAGAAAAACTAATTTAATATTAGGAAGAACTTCATCGAAAGGAAAATAATGAACCCATCGTGTTCTAGTACAATCATCCAATAACTGGGATTTCTTGGTTGACTTTTCTACTCGTTCGTTAAAGTCTTTCGGTGCGAATCTATGTACAGCAACAAAAGATTACTCCGGGCTGTTTTTATTTGCCAGGAGTTTTATGTTCTCGCTTCCCTTGCGGGTGCAGGAAATACTGTTTTCTCATGTCTAATAGAACAGTGGAACCCCGGAACCTGTGATTCTTCAAGTTCGCGATTGATTTCTAGTACCTAGTAGTTTCACAAAATAGAAAAATCACAGAGTTTTCAAAAATTGACGTCGAATAGCTCTTCTTTTTAAAAAAAATATAGTCAGAATGTCTACAACGTCGCAAACCGAGGTGCGTGGTTTGGGAGTAACACCGTCGATATATTTGAAATGCACATTTTTGCCGCGAAGGTGCGGAAAGATGTAAGTAAGTGCATTGTTGGCAATGTATCAGTAGTTCAGAGCAAAAGTGTTGTAACATCGATTTTTTCTGTCGTAAAATATTAAGAATTATGACTCGGTAGTATAAGATATCACTGCCATATTTTTTTACGCACACAGAGCTTCTCCTAAGCGATCATTCGATCATTAATCATTCGATTTCCCCCAAAGTTTTAATCACAACTTGTTTGCGCAAAACCACGGATATAAAAGGAAAAGAGATGTTCTTACCTCGACCGTCGTCAGGTCTCCTCGGGCAGCACACACCCCACTCGGTCGGCGACAAGGCGCACGGCTGACTCCTGAGTTCACTAACCTCCAAATAGTGAGTAACGCACTTGACCAAGGCCTTGCAGACGCCCGGCCGCCCGCGGCGCGTGGTGCACTCCGCGGACACCGTCCCCGACCCGTCGAGGGGGACCACGATCGTCGGCGCCGGACCCGGCGTCGGGGCGCTCATGTTGGGCGAGAACCCCAGGTCCAACTTCCACTTGATGGCGTTCTGGAGAGCCACCTGCTGGATCTGCATGTCCCGCAGCCGCTGGAGGAGCTCGTTCTGCTGCTGCTCGAGAGCGGCCTGGGCCGCCGGGTCCCGGTTCGTGGCCAGGAGGAACGTCACCTTCTGCAGGTCGCCCTGGAGCCCCGACTGCTGGGCCTGGATCTCCTGCTGCTGGAGCTGCTCCGGGAAGAGCTGAGCCCGGACCCGGAACGCGGACAGGGCGAGGGCCACGAGGCCCAGGTACGGAGACATCACGCTCGTCGGGTTCGCGCGGCACTGAGACACTGGCGGTCCGTTGGCGTGGAGCACGTAACAGCGAGTGGCGAGTGGGAGGCGGACGAGATGCCGCGAGGAGCAACCACGGTCGAGGCGTCGCTGTAGCGTCGCGTCGCGTCGCGTCGCGGCGTGGAACGCGCGCAGTGCCGCCGAGGTGCTGAGGCGCTGAGCCGCTGACTTTGACCCTGGCTTCCCGCCGCCCATGTCATTGCAACCGATACCATCTCCGGTAATCCCTCTGCGCTCATCCTTCCCACCGCAGCCGACGCGTGCGCCGTCCGTGTCAGTTTTTTTATGGCTTAAATCATCGTTTGCGTGATGTGATGATTGCGGGGGAGCCCGATGAAGGGGTGCCGCCGGTTGCGAATAGGATGTGCCGTTCGAGTCGTTTTACATTCCAGTGGCGGAACGAACGACTTAGTGGGAAGAAGACTTAGTGGGATTTTCGGTGGAAAATGAAAAATTGCAATTCGGAATTTTGCAACATTGAAATGCAGGTACATTTTTTCGTCTTTGGGAGGGCGAAATGGACGTATTTCTGTCAAACGGAACTAAGCGCCAATTTGAGTTCCTTTTGAGGAATTTAGAATGCCGGGTAGCGCGTTCTGTCGAACGGAACTAAGCGCCATGGAGAAGCATTGCGAGTATAGGACGGAATGAGCCCGACGCCCAGTTCCGCCGCCAATCAAAGCCCCCTCAACCTTCCTCCCCATATGGCGCTTAGTTCCGTTTGACATAAATACGTCTAAAGCATCGTCTGCGTGATGTGATGATTGCAGGGGAGCCCGATAAAAGGGTTCCTGGCAGGGCCGGATTCTCCTACTTGCCGCCCATGGGTCGCCTATATTTTGCCGCCCCCTTCTCATTCGTTTTGAAACTTGATAAAAAGCATCAAATGAACGTACCAGCGGGGGAGGGGTGCATGAGACGCATTTACTTGTGTTGAATACATTTTTTGGGAAAGTCCTATCAACACTACTAGCAAAAGTTCACGAAACTTTTCGCGAAAGTTAAGTTCCGTAAACATATCTCTGTGTGGACAAGGCCTTCCATTCATAAGAAATGAACGAAAAAATTATGAAAGAACAAACATAAATGTTGATCAATGATTTTAACTTCCGCCGCCTCGCCGCGCAGACCGCACCGTGTTTGGCGCAATGCGTGAAGTATTCCGACAGTCTTGTAGGCGCTATGCGTTTCACGCCGACCGCTGCTAAACGCACTGTGTTGAATGCAACGCGTGAAGTATTCACGCAGTCTTGTAGGCGCTATCCGTTTCACGCTGACCTCACCGTGTTTGGCGCAATGCGTGAAGTATTCATGCATTCTTGTAGGCGCTACTATATGTTATATACCGATCGCCGCGCCGAGGGCTTCTCCTTTTCAACTCAAGTCCTCGTTATCATTTCTCTCTAAGTCGCGCCCGCCTTTTCTCGTTTGTCATTTTATTTTTATAAATCCGATTTTTTTTTTTTTTATACCTACACCTAAAAAGCAGGGTCACTTTTCCATCTTCTGGAGGACGAAATGGACGTATTTCTTCCAAACGGAACTATATGCATTATGACGTATGTAAATTCAATGAAATGCCAATTGCATGCTAATGAAAATTTAATGAAAAACATTGAATGCAGTTATGTTCTTCTGTCATAAGTACGACGAAATATTTGTTTGCGTGATTTTTACGCTGGGCGCCTCAAGCTCCCAGCTACTGCTAGTATCTTGTTGCAATTGCAACAAACAGTCAAATCTACCTTTGAAATCTTGAAATCATCTGCTGCCGTAACAATGTGTTCGCTAATAATGCGAAATAATCTGAGGATCTCATTACCTTCCATCTCATATGTGTGAAATCATCTGAAATCATTTCACTTATTTAAAATCCTGAGTCGGGAATTCCAGACCCGGTACTTATAAGATTATTTACAGCAGCAAGCAATCAAGTATGAACATGGGAGATCTCATTTCGTACCGTATGAAGAAGAGATGAGTTATAGCATGTAAGATATATAGCCTGACTAAACGACCGTATATCTTGATTTCACAGCTGGCTCATTCAACGAGTGGTCAGCATAATCCTGTTTAAGAAAGAGACCCTGCGGCCGAAATCCAGCGAATGAAAGAGTTCTTGTGACAGGAGATTGAAGAATTGCTCTGAACTTGCAATTGAAATCGGTTACTTCCTCGAGAGATGACACGGATATACAAATGCTGGTATCTCTGGGCCTTTGAATTACCTACATACCTACTTTTTGCAAAATCAGAGGATACGGAATGAATGAGATTACTGTCTAAACAAAGCACAAATCAAAGATTTTGTGCCTTGATTTTGGTTTACACCGTTTTTGAAACTGCATGGATGGACTTTACCGTCATTTCAATTTTCGAATAATGTCCTTCAAAATTTCATTTTCACCCCCACGAAAGAACGTGACCACATTTCAATGCTGCCAAATTTCCCCTCGTAAATTGCATTTTAATAAGGAAAATCTTGGGACCTCTAACTCAGAATTTAACTGACTTCTCTTCTGATTTCGTAAAAAAATCAGAAAAATGTTGAGCAACAATTGCACGGTTACATCCTCGTAAACAATTGAATTGTCTTGAATTGTTCCTTCATCCAAGGAACGACGATTTTACTTACCGCGGAAAGATGATCATTTTTTTCTTTTTTTGTGTAATTGGGGGGTTCGTAAGACAAGGCGCATTAGTGCAGTTTTAGAAATTCGAGACTATAGAGATTAGAGCCCAGCCGCCTTAGCTGCGTGCCATAGTTCGTTATGTTTGTATTTCAACAACTGAGATACCTATAATTCATATCGTTTGTTTGAAAGCAATATTTTTTACGAAGCATTTTGGCATTCTTTTTAAGAATCAAGTAATGATGGTGGTATTGAACACTGATTTGAAGTTCATTCTGATCGATTTGGATATTTTTTCCTCTCTAAGACACGTATATAAAATTTGTTTTTTCTCCACTTTTTGGTAAGGACTAAAAAGGACTCAATTCCTCCGCAAGTCAGACCATGTGAGATAGAAAGGGAAAATGCCGTCAAAGGAAAGGACAGAATTGCCATGTTGTAAAGTTGAACCGCGTTGATAATGCATTTGAGCCTTGAATACTTAAACACAATGATACAAATATCTTAGTCGAAAAATCAGCCAGTAAGCTCAGTTTAAAATGAGGAAACAGTGATATTTAGCCTTGCTGAATATGGAGCAAAACTATAAAGAAATTATCAAATTTTATTTCGAAGGGAAAAAATAAAAATAAGACCTATTTGGGAAGAAAATTACTCCATTTCAAAGCAAATGATGAGTTTGTTTTGTTGATGTAATATGACGGGTTGGCGAGAGACATTAACACTTCTCAGGCATGGGAAAAAATGTAAATATAATAGCTTGAACAGCTGGCATGGACCTGTGAAAATCTTTCTATAAAGTCATAAGGAAAATATCGTCCAAAAAAGCATTTAAAAAATGCGGGTGAGGAATTTATAATGAGGTCGCTCACTGTATCATCGATGCTTGATTTTCCAACGCTCGTGATTAGAGCTCTATAATTTAAATGAACTTGTTGTTTATCTAATGAATAGAACTAGGCAACGAATAAAACGTGTTCAAAGTCTGAGAACTAGGCAAACCTGAAAACAGGCCTTTTAAAAAAGAGCCTTTCGTGTCAGTTGAGTTTGGCTCTAAACCAGAAGTCTCTCCGTAGTAAAGAAATCCTCCGATAAATATATATCTGTATGACTAATAAGAGCTGAGACGGTAGTTTTTGGCTCATTGAGCGTTTTCCCTCTGTGATTTTGCACACAAGCTCGTACTACTCCATTGAAAAAAAATTCTCGGCGTTTTTACCAAGGTCCGTTGGTACCTTTACCATCTCACTTTTTTTTACCAATTATTGGTAATTTTATCAAGACAGACTGGTAAGCTTACCTAAAAACCAGTATTTTTACTGTTTTTTTCTGGTAAGAATACCACTTTTATTGGTAATCAATTCCCGGTGACTTTGCCATTTTATCTCGGTAATTCTACCACAGTCGCTAAAAAATATTGGCGTTTTTACCAAGGTCCAGTAAAATTACCGAGAAAGTTTAATAATTTTACCTAGATTTCTTGGTAAAATTACCAATTCCATAAATGATAATTTTACCAAGAAAAAACTGGGATCAAATAGAACCCTGAATTCTTGGTAATTTTACCCTTTTCTTAGTAAATAGACACCGAGATTTTTTTTTTCAGTGTGTGTGAGCGGGGATTGTTAAAACATGTTCTTCATATTGATACGTCCCGTTCAATAACTTTCATCCAAATCAAGGTTAGATTTGACTCTCTGCCTTGCTCACAGTCATGTTCTAAATATTATAGCATGCAAGTGTGAAATAAAGTGTACCGACAGGTGTTGATGCGGTATTAGCAAGGTCAAGTGCGCGGTCATTGACGGTTTCGTTTGAGACGTGGATATCTCAGGTCTTGGTACGGAGAGAATGAAAATTCCCAGCTACGCGAGGCAATTTTCATGTTGGTCACAGCCTTTTTTTCCATGGTAATCATTTTTCCCTATATTGTTTCTAGTCATAATGTGCTTTTATTGAAGGTTGCTTGCATTGCGAATTAAAACGTGCGAGCGTTGCACATGCTTGTACGAAATATCCAANTCTAACTCAGAATTTAACTGACTTCTCTTCTGATTTCGTAAAAAAATCAGAAAAATGTTGAGCAACAATTGCACGGTTACATCCTCGTAAACAATTGAATTGTCTTGAATTGTTCCTTCATCCAAGGAACGACGATTTTACTTACCGCGGAAAGATGATCATTTTTTTCTTTTTTTGTGTAATTGGGGGGTTCGTAAGACAAGGCGCATTAGTGCAGTTTTAGAAATTCGAGACTATAGAGATTAGAGCCCAGCCGCCTCAGCTGCGTGCCATAGTTCGTTATGTTTGTATTTCAACAACTGAGATACCTATAATTCATATCGTTTGTTTGAAAGCAATATTTTTTACGAAGCATTTTGGCATTCTTTTCAAGAATCAAGTAATGATGGTGGTATTGAACACTGATTTGAAGTTCATTCTGATCGATTTGGATATTTTTTCCTCTCTAAGACACGTATATAAAATTTGTTTTTTCTCCACTTTTTGGTAAGGACTAAAAAGGACTCAATTCCTCCGCAAGTCAGACCATGTGAGATAGAAAGGGAAAATGCCGTT